ACCATATGAAATCAGGTCAGGTGTCATACTTGATTGTTTGACATTTCTAAATTAACTGGGTAGACATAATAAACTCACACTATGTTGGGTACCTGGCCATCAACAAGGACATTCTGGCAATAAAAGAGCGCACGATGAACATTTAGTAGACCAGAGCTATTCTTTAGTATTCCCAAAGAATAAATTAGGGACAAATGTGATTAATATGTTGAATCTGAATTTCTTCGCCACCGGGACCCCCGGGGCATGTTTCCTTTATGAAAGAATTTGGTGTATTGCAATCCCGGCTTAAATAGGTGCTACCAGTAGCACTAGTCTGCCGGGACTATAAACTGGAGATGACATTTCTCTCCCTGGTTAGTCCTTGGATGATTTGTCATGAGGTCTAACCAGAGCACCACATAATCTGGTACTACGGGTGGCCAGCTGCCCACAGGACTTTTTCTGGCTGGTCAGTTGGTTAAGGTTCCTTCGGGTGTGGTTTAAACCCAAATTCGGGGGAATTGGTGCTTGGTAAAAAGATTGATACATGGTGAAATATAAATTTTCAGGATAAGTTTCCTAGAAGCTAGGAACGGTACAAACCACAGGGACAGGCTGTGGATTAATAAAATGTTATAATTCGGATACTTGTATCTGATGGACGAGAGGGATCCTGAGTCGAATCTGCGGAGATTCTTAACAACAGAAGGCGTGACGGTTGAAATCTTGATGAAATTGGTTGAGACATTGTGAAGCTGTAATACCTTAATCTTTAATTTTTGAGTTTACTCTAATCTTTAATGTTGGAGTTTACTCTAAACATGCTCAACGTATCACAGTAGGTCTTTGTGGCCACTGAAATAAGTCTTGTCAAATAAAAATGGATACGTTTTTCGTACTACAAATTACGTCCCCTAGGTGCTGTTGCCGAATCAACAGAAGCGATCTCAGTAGTGTGGTTGGGCGACTTTAAGAAGTCAAGGAATACATTGGCGTGATTGGCGTCTTTATATGATGAGAATGGTTGTGGGCACAATGGCATTCTTCATATCATTCTTCAATATCAGGGTGTTTTATCCTGATATTGGGTCCGCCCCTTCTATCGACCCTAACCAGTGATTACCTTTTTCTTTGTCGGGGCTAGATTGAGCCTGACTCACACAAAACCAATATACCCTCCCCACTGTAGGTTTTAATAGACAAGACTCAATGTATTTTGTATTTATAAAATGTGTGTATCTCGTTTAGGTATCTTTGACGTGGCTACTGAAAAAATAAGTAATCATTTTATTTTCCAAATATTTGAATAGATAATATCCATAAAAAAGTAATAGAAATCATCGATCTGCTCTATTGAAATCTAATGGGTTAATTTGTAATATAACGTAAATATGTATATAAACACACGTATGTAGTTGTTTACAGGTTGTTTTTGAATAGTTAATTGAGCGTAATTATTGTTTTATTGTTTGACCAACAAAACTGTCACTAATTGAAAATTTAAGCTTTATATAAATTGCTACACGAACATACATGTACATTTTTTTTCTGGGGAATAAATAATTAATAGTAGTTAGTAGCAGTAACTTATATTGATTGCAATTTACAAAAAACTATTGTATAGAGAAACAAATATTGATTAAATATTTGTACATGTAAATATATAATTATTTTTGTTTTTTCTCTACTTTGAAATTTTAGGGTTTTTAAATAAGTTTTAAAAAACAAACTAAATTTAAATTAAATAATATAAACCTAATATTTGTTTAAATATACATATAAAATAAAGAGACATATAGTAAAAACAATGTACATACTTGAATACATATGTAATTCATTAGAATAATTGATAAATTTTTTTGCAGAATTAATTAGTAATTTGTAATAATGAAAAAAAAAAAAAAACTAAATGCAATATTAATTAGGGATAACATTTTATGTTATTAATGAAAAACTTTGAAAAGGAGAGATAATATGGCATCAACTAGAATATATAAAATTAAATTAAATTTTTATTACAAAAGTGAAAAATAATGTATTTGGTCATAAAAAATAATATTAAGTACCAAATTTCTATCCCTGTGAGGAAAACTAAAATTCAATGGCAAAGAAATGTTTCATATTTGAAAAACTTTGAGAAAATATTGTGCTTAAGACACAATCCTCTTGAATCCATAAATAATATCTCAATTCTTATGTTAATTTTAACTCACACATTCAATTAAATTTTTATTCATTTCATCTACGCCAAATTGACGTCAAATTATTAATAAACGTAACAAAAAACAGCAAAGTCTATTAAAAATAGATTTTATAAATTGTAATAAAATAAATAATAAAATATCAAATATTGAAAACAAATAAATTAAAAAATCACAATAAATGTAAGTATATTTTTGGTCATTAAATTTGCAAATATTTATTTATTATAGTTTTCATTAAAAACTGTTTTTGTTTATTTTTCAATATTTATTTATAATGCATCAAATTTATTGCAAAAAATTTTCTATTTTTATTTAATTGATTTTGATAGCAAACAACAGTGAATGACAAGACAATGTAATATTTACTTATTTTCGAGTAATGTAAGTAAAAACTGTTTTCTTGCTAACAGTATGATTGATTAAAATTAAGAATATATTTTTGCAAAATCATATTATTTAATATTTTAAAATGTGTGCAATAAATTACAAAAAAGGATGATATGAATTTTTAGAGCATAATACTTCATTATTGTTATAAGCACATAGCAATGGAAGGCTAAAAAAAAGGATCTTTGAGAAATGTGTCCCAATTTTCTCTTGGCTTGATTAAAATCCTTCATAAGACTTGATTAAAAGCCTTTATAAAACCTAACTAACTAACTAACTAACTAACTAACTAACTAACTAACTACTAACTAACTAACTAACTAACTAACTAACTAACTAACTACTAACTAACTAACTAACTAACTAACTAACTAACTAACTAACTAACTAACTAACTAACTAACTAACTAACTAACTAACTAACTAACTAACTAACTAACTAACTAACTAACTAACTAACTAACTAACTAACTAACTAACTAACTAACTAACTAACTAACTAACTAACTAACTAACTAACTAACTAACTAACTAACTAACTAACTAACTAACTAACTAACTACTAACTAACTAACTAACTAACTAACTAACTAACTAACTAACTAACTAACTAACTAACTAACTAACTAACTAACTAACTAACTAACTAACTAACTAACTAACTAACTAACTAACTAACTACTAACTAACTAACTAACTAACTAACTAACTAACTAACTAACTAACTAACTAACTAACTAACTAACTAACTAACTAACTAACTAACTAACTACTAACTAACTAACTAACTAACTAACTAACTAACTAACTAACTAACTAACTAACTAACTAACTAACTAACTAACTAACTAACTAACTAACTAACTAACTAACTAACTAACTAACTAACTAACTAACTAACTACTAACTAACTAACTAACTAACTAACTAACTAACTAACTAACTAACTAACTAACTAACTAACTAACTAACTAACTAACTAACTACTAACTAACACTAACTAACTAACTAACTAACTAACTAACTAACTAACTAACTAACTAACTAACTAACTAACTAACTAACTACTAACTAACTAACTACTAACTAACTAACTAACTAACTAACTAACTAACTAACTAACTAACTAACTAACTAACTAACTAACTAACTAACTACTAACTACTAACTAACTAACTAACTAACTAACTAACTACTAACTAACTAACTAACTAACTAACTAACTAACTAACTAACTAACTAACTAACTAACTAACTAACTAACTAACGAACTAACTAACTAACTAACTAACTAACTAACTAACTAACTAACTAACTAACTACTAACTAACTAACTACTAACTAACTAACTAACTAACTAACTAACTAACTAACTAACTAACTAACTAACTAACTAACTAACTAACTAACTAACTAACTAACTAACTAACTAACTAACTAACTAACTAACTAACTAACTAACTACTAAACTAACTAACTAACTAACTAACTAACTAACTAACTAACTAACTACTACTAACTAACTAACTAACTAACTAACTAACTAACTAACTAACTAACTAACTAACTAACTACTAACTAACTAACTAACTAACTAACTAACTAACTAACTAATTATACACATAAAAAAATATAAAAAATTAATTTGACATTTGGTTTGACCTTTTCAGGAATTTTTAGACTGTTTGGAATTTATATACCCATTTTAATATACGGACTAAAAATACTCGGAAAAAATTTTGATTTTTTCACGGATTTTTTGAGAAACTTTCGGAAAGATTGCGGAATTTCCAATCGCAATATTTTCAAAAAAAAAATGTTTACTTCTCACAGCGGGGTTTTATATAAATAGCCACAAAACAAAATATTCTTCATTTTATTTATAAACACCTGTATCATTATGAAGTTCAGCTTACATGCATATGTATATTGTCCGTCCGTCCATTAAACAAAAACAAGCAAAATTCGATTAAGCGCAGATTAGATTTTCTTAGTTTTAATCTACTGCGGAGAATCATAAAATTTGTAAAAGTTTAAAATTGTCTTGATTTGCAGAATTTCCTGAAGCGTAAACATTTTCTGATGACGAAATGTAAAATTCGTTTATTAAGTCAAATTTTCACTTAACTGTCAAATGTTATTTACAAAATATACAATTTTGGGTTTATTTTTCTTTAAGTAAAAAAATATATATAATAATAAAATATTAACATTAAATACTTTGATCATTAATTTTAATATTTTTTTGGCTTGTGCTGACCCAGAAAAATATTTAAAACATTTCTGTTTCTTTTTGTTATTTTTTGAACACTTGACGTTTTTCGAAAAAAAATATACAATCTACAATACTACATATAGTAAAATATAATATAGTATTGGCGTCAACTTTTTCTTATTTTTTGATAAATTATTAATAAATACACTCACTCACACATGCATGTGAATTTACCAATAACTAAAACATTATAAACCATCAATTTGTTTATGATTTTATAATGTTGAAAGATTTATTTTTATAAACAAAATTTTATTGAAATTTATTTATTTTTATACACATTCATACATATTTATTTATTATTTTTCGATTTATCTTGATATTCCTGTTAGCAAGTGTAATTTGCACTTTTTTTCGGTTATATTATGAAAATTTTCACAAATAAACATTTCACAACAATCAATTAATTTTGACATGAATTATATTTTTTTTCTCTTTGGTAAACTTTTTTACGATTTTGAAAACAAAATAAATACATATACATATATGTATATGTGTGTATGTATATCTCACATTATTTGCCAAATGTGTTTTGATTCTTTTTTACTATTTTCTATATATTATTTAATTCGAAATGTTTATACATTTCGCGTGATTTTTTTTAAATGCTCTATTTTATTTTTTATACAAATACCACGTGAGATAAAAATACTAATAAATTACACTGAATATCAACAATTGACATTTATTTTTTGTAAATTTTTTTCTAAATGATGTTTTATGATTTTTTTTTTGGTATGTTTTCTTTTCCTTCATGTATTTTTCTCACTTTTTTTTATAAAAAAAAAACATTCTTACATTTATTTAGATATTTTATGTTGTTATTTATAAATATCGTAAAAATTATGTGTAATTTTAATGATTTTATTTTTATATTTTAAGTTTTATGTTTATTTTCTTTTTTTTTAGTTTTTGAAACACATTTCTAAATTTACACATTCAAAATTATTCCGTGTTTAATGTTTTACGATCGCGTGTTTCTCCCCAACTGAAAGGTGATGGGATGCACATACACTACGAATGGATACATTTTTGAACTGAAAATCTTGTCGAATATTGAGAAAAGTAAAGAAAGTGAATGTTCTTTATATTTAATCTACATTTTCTCGTCGGTTTTCTCATTTTGTACGTAAACTGAGAATTTTCGACGAATTTTTCAAAATTAAGAGAATATTTTTTTTTTAAATTTTGTTGTTTTAGGTATTTATGTTTAATTTGGTAAATAAAAACATTATTTTTGAAAAAGTCTTATAACTGATATCATCTGAAAGCAGGACCGAAATTTTAAGAAATTTGTTTTTGCTTAAAACAATTCCTTAACTAAGGATTTGTATACCCTACTCCATAGTGGGGAGGGTTTGCCTTAGTTAGTTAGTTAGTTAATTTTAGTTAGTTAGTTAGTTAGTTAGTTAATTAGTTATTAGTTTAGTTAGTTAGTTAGTTCGTTAGTTAGTTAGTTAGTTTGTTAGTTCGTTTTGTTAGTTAGTTAGTTCGTTAGTTAGTTAGTTCGTTAGTTGTTTAGTTTTTGTTAGTTAGTTCGTTCGTTCGTTAGTTCGTTTTCGTTCGTTCGTTTCGTTCGTTAGTTCGTTCGTTAGTTCGTTCGTTAGTTCGTTCTTCGTTAGTTCGTTCGTTCTTTCGTTCGTTCGTTCGTTCGTTCGTAGTTCGTTCGTTGTTCGTTCGTTCGTTCGTTCGTTCGTTCGTTCGTTCGATTCGTTCGTTCGTTCGTTCGTTCGTTCGTCGTTCGTTCGTTCGTTCGTTCGTTCGTTACGTTCGGTTCGTTCGTTCGTTCGTTCGTTCGTTCGTTCGTTCGTTCGTTCGTTCGTTCGTTCGTTCGTTCGTTCGTTCGTTCCGTTCGTTCGTTCGTTCGTTCGTTCGTTCGTTCGTTCGTTCGTTAGTTCGTTCGTTCGTTCGTTTCGTTCGTTCGTTCGTTAGTTCGTTCGTTCGTTCGTTCGTTCGTTCGTTAGTTCTTCGTTCGTTCGTTCGTTCGTCGTTCGTTCGTATCGTTCGTTCGTTTCGTTGTTCGTTCGTTCGTTCGTTCGTTCGTTTCGTTCGTTCGTTCGTTCGTTCGTTCGTTCGTTCGTTCGTTCGTTCGTTTCGTTCGTTCGTTCGTTCGTTCGTTTCGTTCGTTTCGTTCGTTCGTTGTTCTTCGTTCGTTCGTTCGTTTTCGTTCGTTCGTTCGTTCGTTCGTTCGTTCGTTCGTTCGTTCGTTCGTTCGTTCGTTCGTTTCGTTCGTTCGTTCGTTCGTTCGTTCGTTCGTTCGTTCGTTTCGTTCGTTCGTTCGTTCGTTCTTCGTTCGTTCGTTCGTTAGTTAGTAGTCGTTAGTTGTTCTGTCCTCAATGTTGTTATCTTTTTGAGAAGGTTGTCGAAAAAACTTTCAAATATCGGAAAAATTTCTGATTTCCAAAAACTTGTTTCCTGATGCCAAATTGCGAGACAGAAAACACATTTAAATTTTTTTTAAATAATGTGAACTATACGTTGCATGTATTTTGCTTCGTAATAACTAAGTATATTAATCATTAATGATACACTTTTGCTAGACAAAGACAACTAAATTAAGCCCCAGTAGTGGTCAATGATATAAAGATCCTTTGGTGTTGCTACAAAGTGACAGTTTTTTCCCTCATAAATTTCATACACAAAGTGACCACACTGTAACAAAATTAGCTTATAAATTCTTGCTAAAAAAATTTATGTTGCACATACTCTTCAAATATGCTGATGTTTATAATATGTGTGTATAAAGTAGTTATTCATGCTAAATAAGATACATAAATATAAATTTCTAAGTTTACAAACATATGTACATGAACATGTAAACTTTACATTGTGTACACATGCATATACATGAGTTTTACCAATGTTTTTATATACCAATACATCCATTAGGAACATTTTGTTGACAAAATTTATGGGCCGAAGATGAGTACAGAATGTTTATTTTCTAATTAAATGTAAGATTTACAATAACAGTGGCGTCTGCTTTAATGTCAAATAATTAATAACAATATGAGACAAACAAAAATATCTTTATACCAAAAGTAAAATAAAAAGGAAAATGTTAATAAAAATCAAACAATTTTTCTTTTATCGAAAAAGTACCCAAAAAGTTTTTCGATCAAAAATTTCAACTACTGTAAAACAATTTAAACTTAATAAAATATTCAACTAGTTTTTAGCTTTATCCAATTTTTATTTTGTTTTTTTTTTATATTATATATTTTTATATTTTATATTTTTTTTTTAATACTCTTGTGACAATTTAAACTTTGTTAGGATTTTTGCTCTTTTCATTGGTACACATGGCATAATAATCTAAGAAAAACTTTTTACTATTTTTAGGATTTTTTTTGAAAGTTTTTGGTAAAACGCGATTATATGATACCGTACTTCGATATAAGAAAGATCTTGGAAGTAGATGATTACTTGCAAACATAAAACGAACAGACAGACACATATACCGATACATTTTTTGTAAAAATATATTTTTTTTTAATTTCCAAAATTTTATATAAAAGATAATTTCGCGAAAAATTTTTGTAAAAAACAGAATTTCGCGAAAATTTTCTGTGAAAAAGAGAATTTTGTCAACATTTTCTGTAAAAAAAGAGAATTTTGCGAAATTTTTCTAAAAAGAGAATTTTGTGAAAATTTTTTGCGAAATGTTTTATAAAGAATATTTTTTTAATTTCCAAAATTTTATATAAAAGATAATTTCGCGAAAAATTTTTGTAAAAAACAGAATTTCGCGAAAATTTTCTGTGAAAAAGAGAATTTTGTCAACATTTTCTGTAAAAAAAGAGAATTTTGCGAAATTTTTCTAAAAAGAGAATTTTGTGAAAATTTTTTGCGAAATGTTTTATAAAGAATAGTTTTGCGAAAATTTTCTATAAAATTGAGAATTTTGCAAAAATTTTCTATATAAAAGACAATTTTGGGAAATTTTCTATAAAAAAAGAGATTTTTGCGCTTGTTTTGGACATTTCGTCCCTATCTGCTGGCTTACATACGCTGGTTCCTCCTCTGAACGTTGCCGTTTAGGCCCCGCTTCCGTTTTCATATCGGCGGGAGGAGAAGCGGAACGAACGAGGCAGTCTCTGGCAACCTCTCTGAAAGAGCGCATCATTGACTTATGCGCTTGTTTTGGACATTTCGTCACTATCTGCTGGCTTACATACGCTGGTTCCTCCTCTGAACGTTGCCGTTTAGGCCCCGCTTTCGTTTTCACATCGGCGTGAGGAGAAGCGGTGTCATTGCCAACGATCTGAGCCTTGGCCCATTGGAGGGAAGCTTTTGCTCCGTTGTGAGTTCCCTGGGTGGTTTGGACCCGAGTAGCTCAATAATCTTATAGGGGGAACGCCTCGTAGTTGTCGCCCGCTTAGAGGCCGAGTCTATTGTTAATTGCCCGACTTGGCAGGGGGTCGTACATCCCCAGGACAGGAGGATACCGTCACTGAACCGGGAGGTTCAATAGGCACTTGAAAAGCTGGTGTAAGAGACGACTTAGCCGACCCCTTATCATCAGTACCCGAAGCTGAGTTTTTAACTGGCTTAACGGTTTGGGCTGCAACAGCTTTGGTAACAGTCGCATTCGACTTTCCACAGCCCATTACCGTCGCCGTGGAAGTAGGTTCTCCAGAGATTATGAAGCCCCAGACCGGGTACGCGGGGCATGATTCTTCCTTCTTCTCCATTATTTGTCATAGGTGCATTTTTAACCTACTGCCAGGTTAAACTGCCGACCCCACAGGGGAAACAGACGTAGACCACCAGCCGCCCAATATGGTAATAGACGCTGGTGGATTCGGACGGACAGTACACATTAAGGTGTATGGTTCAATTAACAACCAGCCGGTCATGCTTTCCATGACCACTCCTCTCAGTGAGGGAAGAATAGCCTAGGAAAGCATCTGATACCAGATGCTATCAGACAAGGGGAGGGTAGTTCTTAGTTTCACGCTCAAAGCAGACCCGTCTGGAATGGGTGGCCCTACCAGGAATCCAACCAACTTGTGATGACCATTCCCTCTAGCATGGTTCTACAGATCATTGCGCTTAAGCATCTGCATCGCGTCAAGATGACTAACCATCCGGCCAGACAGATGGACGGCTGGAAGTTGTTACAGGAATAGTAATGTAGGGCATTAAAAACGGAAAGGTGATAAAATAAAAACATCATAAAGTTTTAGTTTTTTTTAGAGGATTTGTTGCTTAAAAAAATAAGATTAAATAGTAAAGAGTTATATAAAATAAAATTACAAAAATAACAGAACACAATCTTAAATAACATAATGTTAAATATATAAATGACAAAAAAAATCTTTAATCAGCAACAATATTTGCTTAAATTCAAAACTTTTTCAATAATTAACTTAGAAATAATAATGACAAGAAAGTAAATATTTCAATGAAAAAAAATTACAAATGTTTTCTCATAAAAATAAAAAAAGGAAGAATTAACAAAATAAAGAAAATTAAGTAAATAAAAAATTAAGAATTTAAGCAATAAGTACATGGCTTAAGGCCATAATGAGTATGTTTTCATTAAATGTGTGTGTAAGTAGTCTGTTCAGTACCTCTCTTATATGCATAATTTCGTGACTTGGAAAACTTTTTCATTTCTTTTTTAATTTTTTTTTCCTTTTCTGTATTTCAGAAGGAGATTGCGGAGCAACGAAATGGTGGAAAAAAATTGCACAAACATTAAGATTGTGCCAAGAACAGAAGAAACAGTTTGTTTAAAAACAAGACAAGAACATGACACAAATAATATGGATTAAAGTTTAAAGTTTAAAAGGCGTAAAAATAGGCTAATTATGAAAATATAATGCTTAAGCGCAAAGTTTAAACGAATTTAAAAAGCACAATTAAGTAGATAACAAGTCTATAAGGTCACAAATGTGTAGCTGGAATAAGAATTTTATTCAAGGCCACATACTAAAGATGATTTATAAATCAAATACTAGACTACAAAATCACTACTAGTTAATTAGCTTAAGATAAGATG